CGCACTCTGGGGGTCTTCACAGCCCTGGCTCAGGGTGCAGGACTCCAACCCCTGCAAAGACCTCTGGAAACGAATCTCTGGTCTCCTCGGAGACGGGACAGCTCCCCCCTGGCCTTTCTGCTGCCCGTGGCCCTCCTGACGTGAAGATGCAAGGACCCCAGAGATTGGTGTCCGGGCAGGCCGTGTGGGCCTGCTTCCACCCCTGCGCTGCCTCCACCCAGGGCCACGAGGGAAGCTGAGGCCTTTCTGTGCTTCTCTGGGGAAGAGCATGCAGTTCTGCAGCCCCAGAATGACCCTCCCCACTTCCTCGGGGGGTGGGGCAGGTTTCCCAGCAGCCTTGGAGCCTGGATGCGACTAATGCAGCCGGCAAAGGACTCAGTGGCCCCCGAGCCCAGCTGTTTGAAGCCTAAACTGTATCGATTTGAGAATTTAATTGCTCTGTGATCCCTGAGTAAACTCTGGCTGGTCCATTGATCAGGCCTCCGGCCGCTGTGGGGAGACAAGATGCGGTGGTTGCTGACGCAGGGCTCTCCCTGCAGCACCGCTCCTGGCTGGGTGTCCCCTCCTCAGGGGTCCCAAGCCGGGCCCCCGGCCTGGCTGTTTGGCAGGTGATGGGGGCAGGGGCACCAGGAGGGACTGGTCAGGGCGGCAGGCTCTCCTTGGCTGCGGTGCCCTGCGTGGGAAGGGCAGGCAACAAAATCGTTTTTTCTTTCCTGGGGGGAAAATGTAAAACGCAGACTAGAAAAATAAACCCTGGCGGGTTGCACACTAATATATTAACAGTGGTTCATTCTATATGACTGCCTTCCATTTTTATTTTCTTCTTTATACTTCTGCATTTACCACATTTCCAACAACTAGCAGTATAACTTATAATCAGAGAAAATAGATGTTATTTAGGATCAAATGGAATGGCTGGAAGGATTCCTCCTATGCTCCTAAAGAAAATCCTAGCGGCAGCTCCGTGGAAAGCGGCTGCCTGTCGGAGTTCAGCCTGGGCTGACCTTCCGGCTCCAAAACTAGCTGGCAGGGGTCCCTCTGTCAAGACCCCAAGCTTCTCTCCACCCTCCAGTCCTTATCTGCAAATGGCCATAGCGCTGTCACACGGAATGAAGCGAGATAAAGTACTGAGTGCTTAGTGCCACGGCCCTGGCATGTTCCGTAATATTAGTGCCTCTTCCATCCTAGCGGAAGGACCCAACACGCAGCGTGCCCCCCAGACCCTCCCCCTCCCCGGGGCTGGGGGTGGTTCTGTTTCCTGCCCAGTGGCCCCCTCCTGACCCCTCCTCCCCCGCCACCTCCTGTCATTACTCTAACAGAAGCGAGCCTTCCTCCTCTCGGGCCCCACTGCCACCCACGGAGACAAATGGGCCACTATTTCTCTAGGTGCAGGACGCAGCGGCCAGCTCCAGGGTCATTGTTCCTGACGTCACTGAGAGCCCCAGAGGGAGGAGAGCCCATGGATGGAAAGCAGGGCTGTGATTACTGGCCTATTCAGTGGCCCGGAATAAAGCCCTGTCATCAGTGGCAGCGGGGGGGGGGGGGGGGGGGGGGGGAAGCATGGGTTGTGTGCCCGGGGCGATGCACGGGTGGTCCAGCCTCAGAGACCTCGCCAACCCCATAACCACGCCACTGCACCCCGTCCCCTGGCCCACTGTGCCCATCCCTTGCTCCCCTCAGGCTCCCTGTCCCAAGACAGAGTTTCTCCTGACCCCATCCCCCAGGGCTGCCCTCTGGGTAGCTGGGGAAGGCCGTCCTAGCCCCTCCCACACACACACCCCGAGGACCGGGGCTTTGGGAGGGGCAAGGGTCTCTCCTGGACCCCCAGGTCTCCCCTGGGCTGAGGGTTTTCCTCAGGCTGCAGCAGCTCGTCTCTGTGCGTCTGACCAGAGGCGCTAGGGGTGATGGGCCGCCACTCGCCGGGGATGAGGCCAGCGGCTCAGGAAGGGGACTCTCGCTCAGCCCCACAGCTTGGGTGGGGACAGGGAGGGCGTGGCACCTCAGGCTCTGCTGACCTGGGTCACTGTCGGCCAGGTACAGAGGAGGGAGGTGGCCAGCCCTGCACTCACACACCAAAGACCCTGACCCCAAGCTCTGACTGATGGCGTGGAGTCCTTACTGGGCCCCCTGTAGAGACCACCTGGCTTATCCCTGGAAACCCCAGAGGAGGCCATCTCGGCCGGGGCCCTGCTGAGCTGGTGGGAACCCAGGCTGAGCAGTGGGAGGGGCTGGCTTGTCTCAGAGCCCAGCCCAGGGTCTCCCCAGCGTGGCCCTGAGGGCCTGGCGATCCAGCCACTGTGTGCTCTCACAGCACACAAGGCCTCTGACCTGGGCACCTCCTTCGAGTGACTCGGGGGCAGGGTAGGGGGAGGGATTGGGTATGCTCTCTGGGGGCGGGGACGCCTGGTCAAAGGGAAGGGAGGGGCTGGGAAGGTCACAGATAAGGTTGGGAACAGGGATGTTGGGAGTCTGAAAGGAGAAAACTTATCTGGGGGTGGAATCCCCCCAGGAAGCCAAGAACAGACAGACTGACTGACACGCAGACTACTGGACATCCGAAGGCACCCAGGGGGCTCCTCCCAGAGAAGCTGAGACGCTGACATCAGACAGACGGACAGACAAACAGACAAAAACACACTCCAGGAAACTACAGGCCAGACAGATGGGACGACTTGGGATAACTGGGAACAGAAGCAGACAGCGACCGAGGATCTGGACCGTGTAGACGGAGGGCGGCAGTGGGCAGTGTCACAGGCCCTCGGGGACAAAGAGAATCTCCCACCTCCCACCTTCCCTCCCAGCATCACTGCCCCACCATGGGAAACTGATAATAGATGTATAAGAAGCCTGCTCCCCTGGCGCCCGGCCCCCATGAAGGGGCAGCACCCCGCCCCGCCCCAGTACACTGCCTCTGTCTCTGGTACCAGGTCCTCCCACCGCCTCCGACCAGGACTCAGGGCTTCGGGGTAGGAGGCCAGGCAGTTGGAGAAAAAGAGGGAGGGGTGAGCGGGAGAGAGAGGAAGGGGCATGGGAGACCCAAGGGAAGATTTCCGTCCCCAGCGCCTGCCACGCGCGAGCATCTTGGGGGCGCCCTGTTATCCACCCTCACCTGATGCCGGTGCTTGGGTGGCAGCAATGGAGGTGGACGGGACTGAGGTGGCCTGCTGGGCAGGAGACAGAGCAGACAGCTCCTCTCTTCTCCTCCCTGCCGAGGAGTACGTTTCTAGGAAGAAGCCTCTCCTGTGTCTGAGAGTGACCGCCCAGGAGATGGGGCTAGGCCCTCCCACTCCTTGCTGTCCATCTCCCTCCTTGCTGTCCATCATCCCCCCTCCTTGCTGTCCATCACCCTCCTTGCTGTCCATCACCCTCCCTGCTGTCCATCACCCTCCCTCCTTGCTGTCCATCACCCTCCTTGCTGTCCATCACTCTGGGCCACTCACTCTTGGCCCCCTTTCCTTTCCTCTCCCACCATCTCTTTCTCCCGTTCCTCTTCTTCCTTCCAGTTTCCAGGAAGGCCATTTTCAACTTGGGGGCATCGCATGCCCCCTGGATGGGGAGCCCCTCGAGATCCAGGTAGCCTCACTCTCCTTAGGTCCTGGGCACAGAGCTCGGCCCCGAGACCTCTGGGCATCGGCACAGCTCTGGCCTCCCCTTGCCTCTGTCCCCCGGTGTGGTCGTGCCTCCTGCAGTCCTGGATCCCCAGGGTGGGCCCCTTATTATGGCTCAACTCCCACCATTGCCTCCCCAGGGTCCTGCCTCTCCCAACCCACTCGGACTCCCTTTGAGGGAAAACAAGCAGTAACACCTTTCGGGGGAGGTTTTCCATCCCCAAGCCCACCGGCTACCATCTCTGATGACTGCCCAGTTACTTCCCAAGGAATGAAGCGATCATGGAATCACTGAGGCTCCAACCTGGAGGCGGCCCTTACGGCAGCAGGTCTGGGCCAGGGTGCTTGCGGCTCTGAGCCTTCTGCTGCCCTCCCGTGAGACAGGTCCTAAAGCCTGTCCAGGCCCTAAGCAGCCCAGAAGCCTCGGTGAGATGAGAAGTCATGCTGTTCCCTACATAGACCAGCCCCTTCATCGTACAGACGGGGAAGGTGGGGTCCAGGGGAATCCAGGAACTTGCCCAAGTTCATTCCAACAAGAGGAGACTGCAGATGGGGTGCGTTTCAGGCTGGAATCCGAGTATCCTGACCCCCGGGGAAGTAAAAACAAGGAAAGAAAAGAGAAATGCACTGAACTGAGATGGAAAACTTGGGGGAAAGAGAAGAGGACAAAGTGTGACCAGTACAGAGGGGGCAGCTCCAGGTCGAGCCGGGGCGAGAGGACGCGACGCAGGGGAGGAGGAGAGGCGGAGGGTCAGAGGCGGTGGATGATGGAGGGAAGGGGAAGAACGAAAGCGATGGAGAGAGCCTGCGGGGAAAAGAGAGGGTGGGCGAATGATGCAGAGCAGGGCAGGGAAGAGAGCCTGGGACAGGACTCCAGACCTGACTTCTCAGTGGGCCCCCTCCCTTCCCAGGTGGTCGGCAAACCCAGCGCAGTATGACAAACCTTCAAATCAAAGTTACCTTGGCTCCTTTGTGGAAGGAGAAAGATTAGAGAGAAAAATGCAAATCTTGGATATGAGAGGCAGGATGGGTACTATTATTGGTGGGGCACCTTCGGGTGCCGGACAAGCCACCACGTGAGACGTATAGATATAATCAAGCTAATTTCCCCTGACGTTTAAAAAGGTGAACTTTTTACAGGCTGGTTAGTGGGAAGGAGCGTAGGTTTGGGATTTGCACAGCAGGGTATCATGACCTAAAAATTGGGAACTGCTCATCTGGGGTCCAGAGGAAGGACGGAGAGGTGGAAATATGAGGGAGGAGGTAAAAACAAACAAAAATCCCACAAGACTCGGGAGGAAGAGGCCGAGTAGGGCCCTGGTGTGTGCTCTGCTTGGAGGGGGAAGGACAGTGGGGGTGGGGAAGGGAGGATTGTCCAGCAATTATTCCCACCTTTGGGAGGCCAGGTCAGAGCAGGCGGGCTTCTGCTCGGCGTCGGCGGCTGGGCAGCAGAACTGGTGCAGCACGGTCTCATTCCTGAGGGCAGAGCAGAGGAAGAAGGTCAGCGCCCTCTGACCCCAAGGTGCTCCTGCCTCAACACCTTGCCCCTGGGTAACACCAAGGTCCCAAACACTACCCAGGGGAGAACGTGCAGCACTGAGTCAACGCAAACACTGCCTCCTGTTTGCAGCCCCCTGACCTCTTCTACTTCTGCGCCCCGATCCCTGCAGTAGGCTCCTCCATGTGACGTAACATTTATTTGACTGTATCTTTTGCCATGATCATGGTTAGCCCTCTATAACCCTTTCCCCCACTAAGGTCCGACCAGCGAGGCAGAACTAGGTCTATTCATCCAACATGCACAGAATTGCACGCAGTGAACATTTGTAAGCTAATCATATGGAAAGGTGCAAAGCACTCATAGAGGCCTTAGAGTTGCCGGCTCGATGAGAGATTTGTCCGATGTGGATGAAAAAGCCGACCGGAAGGTGGAGATCCGGGTTCTAGGGCCACCGCTACAGGTGGCTCGGGTTGCAATACCTGGTTCACCTTTCCTGGATTTCAGCTTATTTACTAATGAACCACAGGAGCGGTTCCCAGCCCCAGCTGCTTACTAATCTCTCCAGGAGATTTTTTAAATTACGGATTCACTTGGGCTGGCCTGGGTCAGGGGCAGCAGGACATTTTATAAGCTCCCAGGTGATTTTCTAAGGGCAGCCAGAACTGACAGCCATTCGACTACACAATTTCCAAGGTCCTTCCGTTGCTGCGAGGCTGGGATTCTAATACCTGTCTTGAGCCACCTTGAGACTTAACACTGAAATTATTTTTGTTGTTGTTGTTTTGTTTTTGTTTTTTTGGCTGTGCTGTGCGACTCGTGGAATCTTAGTCCCCCACTCAGGGATTGAACCCGGGCCATGGCAGCGAGAGCACCAAGTCCTAACCGCCGGACCGCCAGGGAACTCCCCTGAAATTACTTTTGGATAAAGTTATGCTGACCTCCTGCCTTCTCCCCTTTGGCAAGCAGTCACCATCATGAAGTCAGAGAAAGTCAGACCCGAAAGGGCTCTGTTCTGATCAACCTCCCAGGGCTGGGAGCCGCTCCCCTGAGCAGAATTGAGGCAGGTTCCACGTGGTCCTCCCAGGTCTCCAGACGCGGCTGCGTTGGCATATGCAATGGGAGACATAAGCCTCCAAGTCCTTCCACACCTCAGGCTCGGGCTGGCAGTGTATTGGGGGTCGCAGTCTCTTTTGGGGTTCCTGCTGATGGGGTCCCTAAGGACAGTCCAGCTGGGAGGAGGAGTTTGCCTTCAGCCCCTCCCCTGTTTCCTCTCTATCCACCTCCTGCCCATGGGCCTTCTCAGCCTGGGCCAGGGGCTTCCCAATAGACACCCCCTTCGGCACCTCCTTCTGGGATTAATTTCATGCTACCCACCTCTGACCACCCTGGCCCCCTGCCCTGCCCAAGGTCACAGTCCAAGTGCCTGATCTGGGCAGGTCTTAGCTTAAGTCAGCCTCAGACCTCCCTTCCCTCCACCTCAGAGGAGAACCCACACAGAGGAACCCCAAGAATTGATTCTCACTAGAGATAAAATTGGAAGGAAAAAGTGGAGAAATGATGGGAAGGCACGTCACCTCTGTGGTATCCTTCCCCCAAACCTATAACCCATTCCAAACATGGGAGAGCGTCAGACAAACCCAAATCGAGGACATTCTACAAAATATCTGATCAGTCCTCCTCAAAACTGTCACGGTCTTGAAATCCACAAAGAGACAGAAACTGTCACAGACCAGAGAAAACTGAGACGTGATAACTAACCGCCATGTGGTGCCCTTGGTGGGATCCTGGGACAAAAAGAGGATGTTAGTGGGAAAGCTAGTAAAGTACAAATAAGGGCTAGAGATAGATAGATAGATAGAGATGGATGGATGGCTAGCTAGATAGATAAATATAGATAGATGGATGGATGGATG